CCACTTGTTCCTGAGGTTATCATTGCCTTGCCTACGTCCCTTGGAATATTTGGGGAACTATGGCCAACTAGTTATCTGTATAGCTGTATCTGTGGGTTCTTTTTTGTCCGATAACTGCTGAAAGCCTTGCTGTTCTCAGACAGGCTAGTCTGGAAGTGCTGAATAATCGTCACCAGAACCATCCTCGACAAATGAATCTTGGGATTCTCTAGTGTCCAGCAGTCTCAGCCCTAAAGTCAAGTAATTCTGAACGTTGTGTTTTCCCCCATTTTCCAGAATTATTTGAAGTGTTATGCTCCAGTCCCCTCCTCTAGAAACTAGATTCAGAAAATCTGTATTGTGTTCCACCTTCCAGTTCCGATTACACTTCCTTTCCTACCTTTATTCCACACACAATTCCAAATAAAGTTTGCACTCAAAGGATTCCCTGGGGCTCCTACAGAGAGAACCCAGACTAAATTCCAATGAAATTTCCAGCTTCACTTATATAAATTTGCTTTTGAAAAGTTAGGTATCCTGCCAAAAGAACATCTTTCTTTGTGGGACCTCCTGTCCACCAGTAGCCACTGCAGGAAGCCACCCTCTTCCTCCCCTGCTGTTTACTAGTGCTTTTGTTCAGAGCAAGTGATGACTTCAATAGCTAAGCCGACTTTTAAACCTCAGTCAAGAGCCGGGAAAATAAACTAAGGTTCACTTAAGATATAAACAGTGGAGTCTTTTCCCTACCTAAAAATTTATAATTAAAATGTTACAGAACACAATACTAGTATACATTTTAATATCCTCAAGGAAGAAATTTATTTTGATCTCACGGCTTTTAGAAAATGTATTCTTTGAGTGGGAAAAAAAATTGCTAGCATCAGGCTACAAATTGTTCTTTTAACAGGGAGAGAGGGCTCCCTGAGAAAAAATAAAAGATGTTACTGACCTGGTAAAAATCTTATTGTAAACATGCTAATAATAAACCTACTAGCTAGATATTGGTTTTTGCTTGCAAAATCCTTATCAATTGAATGATTTTAGCAGGATGTATTAGAGTGTCTAAAATTGTTAGTGAGTGGTAAAATCAAATAAAAATGTAAAACTAAGGCTGGGCATGGTGGCTCACACCTGTAATCCCAGGACTTTTGGGAGGCTGAGGTGGGTGGATCACTTGAGGTCAGGAGTTTGAGACCAGCCCGGACAACATGGACAAACCCCATCTCTACTAAAAATAGAAAATTAGTCTGGTATGGTGGTACACACCTGTAAGTCCTGCTACACGGGAGGGTGAGGCATGAGAGTCTCTTGAACCGGGTGAACTGAGATCACACCACTGCACTCCAGCCTGGGTGATGAGAGCAAAACCCCATATCAATAAAATTTTAAAAAAGCATAAAACTAGAATCTGTGGGTTTATGGAGAATGGGTTCCTGGAAAATGTCACATAAACTATGTGGAACCATAGCCATGTAACCATCTGAGCATAAAATAGAGATGTGTCATGACCAACGCACCTTCCTGTGTGTAAATGGTGCAACCATAAGAGACCTCATATGTTTATCTGTTTGTTTGTGCCACAGTGTGTCCTAAGGGGAAAGTAAGAATGAGAAGCTGCTCTGGCAGGCCTGGGTTTTCCACTGTTTTCTCTGCATCTCACAATTACTATATAACTGAAATTATGAGTAAAGCATGATATAGGGTGAAATCTCTGAGGATGCTTATGATTCTGATTTGACAATCCAATCCTTTGCATTACTTTCTTGAAGAGCTGGTTAAGTTTTGTCCATGTAGATAATGAGAAATATGCATATAAGTATATGTATAGAAGCCAACACTCCTTGCCTTTCATCGTATAGCAAAAGTTATCATGGCCCCTCTCATATATGTAGGAAACTTTGTTGTACTTGGACAGACTTTCACATCTGCAGGCCTCGGGCCTTCTTTTCCCCCTAGATCTGCTAAAAGCTTTGCCACCCTCACACCAATGGATCTCAGGAATGTACATATAAATATCCAAAATTATTTTGCATATCTTATATGAAAAGGCTATTTGAGGATATATGTCAGAAAAAGAAATGTGTTGTTGAGGTTCAGGACGTATCACCCCAAAATATGATAGGAGACCAGAATATGTCACCCCAAAATATTTTTCTTTTTTGGCATATTTCAAGCTGGTTATTTTGAGATACTGCAGACACAAGAGTAGCTCATGTGAAAATCTGCCCTTTTGTAAAGGAAAATGACGTCAGTTGAGGAATCTATATTAGTAAAATTATCTATATCAGGAAAAGGGCTGCTCTTAAACAACGTTTTTTTTTTTTTTTCCCCCTGAAAGACTCTTATTTACATAACAAGAAAACCTTTATTCAACATGTTTCCTCACCTTCACCCTCCCACAACATGTCCCTATTCCAGAAGTCCCTTTCAGAAGCCCCAGTCCCTATTCCTTTATGCAGTTCAGGACGCCACGTAAGTATCAATCATCTAGCCCTTCATTGAGTTTCACATTTTTGTAGGACCCAAGACTACGAAAACTCCCCTAATATGAAAGAAAAGAGGAAAACCATGAAGGTGAAGTGGTGAATGAGAGTAGGCAGATAAAAGAGGTCAGGGAAGCAGGACACAGTGCTTCTGACATGAAGGTTCTCATGCTGTGACTGAAGCCACCTCAGCAAAATTACGACAGTGAGAGAAATCTGACATAGATGATTCGATCTTACTTCTGACTTCCAAGCTGCCCTTAGTCATTACTGGGTGTAGGCCGAGCTAACTTCAGGAGAAATTTAGTTTATAGTTTAACCTTAAGGCAAGGATGGTAACAGCCCTTCTCAAAACTCAACCGCTTTTGACAAACTAAGAAAAGGGCCACAAGGTTACGATTATAAGACGTACCTGAGCTCTGCTAAAGTGTAGATGTAGTTCTATAATCAGGTACTGCTCAGGAGTCATGTGGCTAGTGACCTTCCCAATTGCTCCTATAGACACCATTACTATTATAGATGCTAAGGTTGGTTTCTTTGAAATGCTTTTTCAGACTGACCCCATCTGGACTCCTGGCTCATGACTCAACTAATCCTGTGGCCCCACCCAGCGGCAGACTGAGGGCATGAGGACCATTTTCTACACCTTCATGGTTTCACCACCACCCCCCACCAACCAATCAACAACAACAGCCATTTCCTAACCCCCTGGCCACCATATTGTCCATAAAAATGCTAGCCTTATGGAACCAAGTTGGAAAACACTCTTCAGGATACTTACAACCTAGTAAGACAGGCCAACATTCAAATTCAGGAAATACAGAGAACACCACAAAGCTACTCCTAAGAAGGGCACCCACAAGGAACATAATCA